ACGCTGTCCACGTACTCGTAGGGGAACACCCCTTTACGAGTGAGCAGATCGAAATCTTCCTATACGTGTGAGAATTCGGAACGCACAATTTTTAGTTTGTCCTTGTCGAGGTACGACGCCAATTTGTGCAGACTCGAACTCAGGAATTTATACGAGTCTATGAACCGTAGTTTCACGCACTTTCGCGAATCTTTGTCACTGGTGTCTTTGTCACTGGTGTCTTTGTCACTGGTGTCTTTGTCACTGGTGTCTTTGACGTGTTTCGTGAAGGAGATGTACTTCTCCTTGGTCAGGGGAAGTAGATCCACTTGTCCCTGATATCGCGTCGCTATTTCTCGTATGATGAAGTGCGCGTCGTACCCCGACAGGTTGTGGAATACAACCGGAACGTACGGAGAGTCCTTGTAGTTCACGTTGCATCCCTTGTGCGCCGGACCGCGGTATCGCCCGGTGAGGTGGCAGTGGTCGCGCGCCCGCTCGTCACCCGGGGCGAACGGCCTCTCGCAGATGTGGCAGTGCGTCGCGCTGTCGAATCTTCGCCAGTCGTCCCGCGTAAAGTTCATGGGCTGGTTGGTCGTTATCGCGTTCTTCACGCGATGCGCCAAAGCCTCTAGCTGGCGCGCGAACCAGCTCACGCAGTCGTTGCCCCGCCGACACCTGCACTCTGATAACGAGTCGTCGTACGAGCAGTGCACGTAGTACGCGATACTGAACGCTTCGTGCCGCTGGTACGCGTACGACGCCGCTGATGACGCATCCTCGGTCTTTCGCAAGACACACTCCAGGTCGGCGTACACTATAAACGGCGCCCGCTCCTTCCTGCAGTGTTGCTTAAACTCCAACCATTTGTCGTCTGTGCTCGGTAGGCGGATAGCGCACTCGTTGAGCTTTTGGCAGTCCTCGCTGTGTCTCTCCAGTTTCTCGTTGGAGGAGAAGTAGTGGAGGCTCCTGCAAACAACAAACACTTATTGGTACAACATTCTTTTTTGGCTTACTATTGTATTTTACTTATCGCACTTACCGGTCGCAGAAGTATTTCCTATTCTTCTTTTTGTTAATCTGCGATCCTACGAGGCCAGACAGATTTTTGATCCATACGAAATGACCGCGCGAATCTTGATGACTGTCGTCTTGAAGATAAAGCATGTTAACGTGCTTCTCCTTGTTATCATCGGTGAGCCGCAGAGGGAGGACGTCCCCGTCCTCGATGCCGTACACGTTCACCGACACCGTGTTCGAGCGCTCGAATTTCGGAATATTTTTCAAAGTCATCGGAAACACGATGTCCGCGAAGTTGAGCACCGTCGCGTAGTGCGGATACGACGATTCGCGTTCCGCGAGTCTTTCCACGGGGTACAAAGCGGCTACCACCGCCCACGCGAAGCACGCATTTTCCATGGACTGTACGTTGACCAGCGCTCTCCTGTCCTTAATCTTCTTCGGCACTGTAACGTGACACTCCGCGCGCATGGGATTGAGTTTATTCACATTGACCGTTAAATTTAGGATTCGTGAGAGCGCCCACCCGCTGTCGCGCTCCTGATGCTCCTCGAGCGACGCCAACGTGGGCTCGATAACGCGCGACGCGTACCACTCGCGCAGATCGTTGCACCGATACAGTTCGCAGTTTTTACTGTTTATCCCCATAACGGTGCGTTTGTCACCCGCGATGATCTCGCCGTTGAAGGCGGTGTTCACTTTGACGCTACCGTGTCTTTCTATAGCGCCCCGCACACGCTCGAACACTACACTTTTGGCGTCTTTCAGAAACTGCCGCGGTTCTATGTGTCCAGAGTTTATAACGGCACCGGTTAGAACACGATTGGCAAAAGCGGCGTCGATCTCGCGCCAAGCGAGAGATCCGTCGTCACCACCCACGCCATGACCCACGTGCACGAATCGTCGTTCCAACTATGTTCGCGCACCCTCGAGTCGCGCGATCCTCGCCACCGCGGATTGTCTGTGCCCGACGGTAAGACGCGGACGCTTGGCGCGACACTCGAGGCTCTCGATGCACTCGTTGCACCTCTCCAACCACGCGAAACACTCGCCCAAGGTAGCGACGCGACCGCACTGTTCGAGCAGTTCGCGTTCCGCGCGCTCGTAGTCTTCCATTATTGGAACAATAAAACAAAACAAAAAGTTATTCGAAGCATTTGCACGTTACTCGTTTGCACGCGCTGCACCACCGCTCAGCATTCGCAATGTCAAAGAGGTCCAGCACCTTGTCGTTATACAAGTTGTTGAACCGATACTTTTCGCACTCCGTGCTTGTATCGTCGCACTTATCACGCAATACTCTCTTTATAGCAGGATCCCTCTCACGTTTGTAACCCGGGGCATTTTTATCTACTACTACCACCACTTCGGCTCTTGCACCACTATAAGTGTTCATTTCAATGCATCTGCAGGAATATCTGAGTCTACTCGTGATCGTAAACATTGCCCAAATATTATGGAGTTTAGTCTCCGTTGAAGACTCCGTACAATACTTATCGTACTCTGCTTTATTACTAAAGTTCGTATACTGCGAGAGTACTTGCTGGTACGCTTCTTGTTTTTTTGCGTGGTCTGACCCATTGTCAACCCGCTCTTTGTCCACGATTACGTTTTGCACTACGCGATCCCCGTGGACCTCTCGGTCGCGAATTACACGTATCGGCGATATTCGCGCAGTATAGTTCGACGGATTTTCAAGCACGTGTTTAACGTCTTCGACACTATTGTTCGCACACCCGCAAAATTCAACCCAATCAGCGTCCAGCAACCCAAGCGGATCTTCGTTGTTTGACAAAACACTATCGTCTTCGATCTGATTGTTCACACACTCAACATATTTGCCCCGATCTTTGTCCAGCAACCGATGCGATGATCCCGTATCGTTCGATAACACACTATCGTCTTCGACCTGATTGTTCACAGACTCAACATGTTCGCCCAGATCTTCGTCCAGCAACCGAAGCGACGATTCCCTATCGTTCGATACAACACTATCGTCGGAAGACTCAACTTCCATACCGTCTTCGACCTGCTTGCTCGCACATTCGATAAAATAATCGAGCCAATCTTCGTATTTTGACATATTATTTTCTTTACGCTGTGCAAATAGGGCACACACTGCACGGGAATACAAGGCACATCAGTTTCCGGCAATTGGAGCACGTTCCAGCGATGAATACCTCGATGAAATCGGTATCGTGCTTCCTGATCAACAGCATCGAACCGACTTCGGCATCGGCGATGCTAACCATGCACTCTGCACACAGGGTTAGAGCTAAGCCTGTAGAGTAGTAGCACTGGATCTGGCAGTGTTTCACGCGAAAAACGCCCAATGCCCGGATTTGCGCGTCCGGGATAATTTTTCGCACACGATCGGTAGCGTTCTCAAGATCGCTTACGCATCCGGTATCGTTCGACAAAACACTGTCGTCGGAAGACTCCAACGTCTATAACGTCTTCGGCGTTCACATCTTCGATCATCCCATCCATAACCCGAATATCGTCGATCACTGTGTATATTACAATCGCACATTTCGACACGATCGGTTCGCGGCACTTAATGATGCTCACCGCGCTTCTGACTCGTTATTTATACCGTTTGCGGCTTCTTTGTCGGCGTCTTCCTAGAACTGCATCTCGCCGCTCTTCCTGGAACTTTATCGCGCAAGATAACGCGTAGTAATTTGATAATTGTTTTCGTTCAGCAGCCGAATCATCGGCGCTCGAACTTGTTATTCCTAGAAAAACATATCGCGAACGCGTTGAAATTTGAAACTCGGTATCAAGTTATATTTCGGAGGGGGTCTCTGAAAACGCCCGCGCTGGAGCCATGCGTCACGTGACCAGTGTCACGTGATTCCTGTGGGGACGGTTAAACTCATTCGATGATGATGTCATTGCCCGATGACGTAATCGCCTGCATCGGCTGCATCGCCTCGGCGGCACCTTTTTGAAACAATAATATCCCCGCGGCGGCCTTTTGAAACGGGAACCCGAGGGGGGACAGCGGGGGGACGGCGCGATAAGGCGGCTCGGAGGCCCCGGCGCGGCGGAGCGATAAGACCTCGGCGCGGCGGACCGGCTCCCCCCTCCCCCGTACCTTCCCCGCGCACCTCACCCTCCCTCAGAGCACCCGGGGTAGAACTCGCCTATACACTCTACTTACGCAGTACATAAATTTCACACAATATAATAAACATTAACATCTTGTTTTCAAGACTCGATTAGGCTTTACACTTTCCTCGATTTATATATCTAAACATTATATTTGTCCATAATTTACATCACATCTATTATTTGTGAATATATTTTCATGTCTCACAAATTATATCACTATGTTATACGTATATATGATATTATATCTATATACATATTCTGTTATTTTAATTTATAATGCAAATACTATGTTGAAATAATGTTTTCACTGCATACTGTTTACAATTAATGCGACCCGGGCACGCCAAGTTTTTTCTTCACTATAATCCAGTTGACAATTATAGTCACTTTCGGTCTGTCTTATGTGACTGACGTAATGAAGAATACACTTGGTCAATTATATTTATCTCATATCTGTTTTTGATCAAGAAGTTTAATATATTTTTATGCACTTGGCGTATGTTTTTTCTTTTTTTAAAAAAAGGTTTTTTTAAGATTATTTTGTCTTCGATTTCCTTAACTCGATCGAATTTAGATTCAAATTATTGTTATTCAAATGCTTCTCATCTCTTTTCCATTTCGTCGAAATTGTCAGTTGCAATGCATTATCTTCAGTCTAATAGTGATAGGTGATTTCAGCAACATAAATTGTAACTTTTCGTGCCTCTTCTTTCAATAAATTTGAAAAATACAACACAAAGAATCAATTCTTTTATAATTATAAAGAAGAGAGAGAGGACAAACTAAAATGGAGATTATAAAACTTATCTGATGAAAGAAAATTTAATCAATTATAACAAAGAGATATCAGCCCTTACGGAAAAAAGCTATTGGTAAATGGTGAAATGGCCAATAGTAATTTGGCCAATAGTTAGTATTGTTGGTGAATAGTTACTATTGATCATTAGTTACTGTTGGCCAATAGTTACTATTGGTCAATAGTCCCTCGTAAAAAAGGTCAGTTTTCTCTAATTACTGTTAGCTTGTTAAAATAAGTATTATTAATTAGCATCAATTTTAGAACAAAATCATGAAAAAAAAATTTTCCTCGAGAAAAATTATCCTAAATTCGACAATTAATTTTTTTTCATGATATTTCCCAAACGGTCACCCATCCGAAGTTGTACCACGAACCTCGCTGCTTAACCCTTGACAATCGTACGGGAACTGCTGTATTTCGATGACCCACGAATCTGTATATGTCAACGTCTATATAATTGTGATATATCTGTTCAATGGAAATATTAAAAACAGATGGTTATGTGTTTATATCATAGTGTATGTATTAGTGTATGTATTATTTCCGCAAGTGTAATGCGCATGACGTATCATTTTTTATCTTTGTTTTTCATCGAATATTAAGGGATATAATGATACATCAAATAATAATGCACAAATAATAACAAATAATTGATTAAAATCGATTTCTTTATTCAAATTTGTATAAAAATTATTTCCGCAAGTGCAGAAATGTATTAGGCGAATAGTTACTATTGATGCTTCAATAGTTACTATTAGGACTCCAATAGTTACTATTGATGCTTCAATAGTTACTATTAGGACTCCAATAGTTACTATTGATGCTTCAATAGTTACTATTAGGACTCCAATAGTTACTATTGGATCCAATATTATTCAAACTATTGGAGTCCTAATAGTAACTATTGAAGCATCAATAGTAACTACTGGAGTCTCAGTAGTAACTACTGGAACACCAATAGTAACTATTGATTCTTAATAGTTTTTTTCCGTAAAGGAGGCCACCAATCACGTCAGATAGTTGCTTTAAACCGGGAAGATTCCAAATGTAACTTCACTTCTCCTGCTGCATTGCATACACATTCTCAAATTCTTTTTGTAATCCTGCGTACAAAAAAATGTTGCTATAAAGTTGTTATTATAAAAGGAACGAAAAATAAATAATTACAGCAAAGAAAATATTTATTTATTCTCACTTACGTATTCCTCTGTGCCAGCGATATGACAAATTTCCTAACCTGAATAAGCTAACCAAAACAAATTGTCTGCTGTAAAATTATATATAGAAATTATATATATAGAAAATAATTCGTATTCTTATATATCAGATAATGTGTTTTACAGCAGAGAATTTGTGTAATAAAGCAGAAAATATTTATTTATTCTAACCTCACTTACGTGTTCGTCTATGCCATCGATGTGACAGATTTCATAACCTCAATCCTTTATTATTACCGAGACTGTAATCCGACTTTAATGATCGTACAGATCGCAATCGATATTTAAGCCCATAGCACATACAAAACGTAAGGCCGTAAAACGTAATCAGTAAGCGAATTGGCTAATCACTGTAGAGACCGTAAGGCCGGTAGCGAATCCAATGTTACGATTTCCTTACTGTTACGTCTTACGGCCTTATGTTTTTCTATGTGTTTCTGGCTTTATTCTAACTTTACTTACGTGTTCGTCTATGCCATCGATATGACAGATTTCTTAACCTCAGTCCTTTGTTATTGCTAACTGAGACTCTTAGTCCGACTTTAACGATCGTACAGATTGCAGCGATCGATATTATAGATTTATAGATACCCATCGCGACCACATTTATTATCTCTCACATTTATTTCTTTCAAACAAACAAACACATAGACACACATTTCCTCGACGGCGAACACCTAGACACTCACTTCCTCGAAGGCGAACACTTAGACACTCACTTCCTCGAAGGCGAACACGTAGACACCTACTTTCTCGACGGCGAACACTCAGACACTCACTTCCTCGACGTCGAACACGTAGACACCCACTTCCTCGAAGGCGAACACCTAGACACTCACTTCCTCGAAGGCGAACATCTAGATACTCACTTCCTCGACGTCGAACACGTAGACACCCACTTTTTCGAAGGCGAACTCCTAGACATTTAGTTCCTCGAAGGCGAACACCTAGACACCTATTTCCTCGACAGCGAACACCTAGACACTCACTTCCTCGAAGGCGAACACCTAGACACTTTCTTCCTCGAAGGTGAACACGTCGACACCCACTTCTTCGACGGCGAACATCTAGACATCAATTTCCTCAAAGGCGAACACCTAGACATTCACTTCCTCGACGACGAACATATAATTCAAATTTAATATTTATATATATATAATAACATTATATATATGTATTATTAATAAATATTTTATATTATATTGAATAATATTTTATTCTTAATTATAAGATTCAAACCGCGCGCGTGTCATACACTGGTCTGCTGGTTAGGTATAGAATAGAATAGAGTGAGATGATAGATAGAGTGATAGAGTGAGTTAACATATAAAGTCAAAGGCCCTCTATTATAGAAAAAACGAGACGTACATTTCTCTGGTCGGCGACGTTGATGACGTATCTTAAAAATAAAACGTGAAAATTCACAGATCCGGACTTTGCGTCGCGATGTCTCCGCTCGTAGGGCACGTAGAAAAAAAATGAAAGCACTTTTATCATACAATTTAAGTATTTCCTGTCGATTGAGCGTATGTAGAACTTAATCGGTTCAGCCGTTACTGAGATCTGATCATCTCGACCCCAAAAGTTCTCAGTTTCGCGGAAAGGAGGCACGGCAGTGTCGCGCGCTTGGCTTAGTGCCGAGACACTACCGTGTCTCCAGATCCTGAAAAGGATCTTCTAATCTGTAAATGACAAAAAAGTATTTACGATACAGTAATTATATGATTTAGTCGGTAATACAGACAACTTTAGGATTTCCTTAATTTAAATAATAATATAAATTCAAAATTTTTGAGAATCTGAATAACTAATAAAATGTTATAGAAAAACATTTAATTTAAATACTTTGAGTTGTGAATGTTTTTCTATAACACACGTGTTATAGAAAAATATATACATCAAATTAATATGTCTGCAATGTATATGACAGTATCTAAAAGCATTATTTTAAGTCAGTATAAAACTATTATGTGATTTTTATTAGGTGGATATCACCGAACTCTGTCCATCAGCCACTGTACTAGCGCAACAATTGACTCATGTAGAACTTGAAAGACTCTCTTATATCGGGCCCGAGGAATTTGTGCAGGCTTTCGCCAAAGTAAGTTTGTTTCAAAGCAGAATTACAATTTTCTTATACTAGAGTTATTTTATAAATACTTTTACAACAAATTAATATTTGTATTACAATTATATACTAAATACTATTATTTTTATTATTCTATCAGGAGTCACCGCATTTAGAAACATCTTTTAAAGATATGAAGAAAACTCGGAATCTTGAATCGTACGTTCAATGGTTTAATAGACTGAGCTACTTCGTAGCAACGGAAGTTTGTAAGGTAAGTATGATAGCTTTATAACAAAGTCAAGTGTAATTTCCTTACGAATTCTCGATATTTAAAAACCATAAAATATGTATCCGACGATCAGTTGAGAGTCAAACGTGGTTCTTTGTACGTAATTGAATATTTATTCTTTAAAAATATTGAACGTTTCGACTCTACTTTGGAGTCATCTTCAGCATAATTAATCTCTGTACTCCTCCGAATGTTTGAGACAGAGTCACACTCAAATTTTCAGATCCGATGTGCGATCTAATAAAATATTAATTTCGTTAACCTCAAATTAACTCAAAAAATTAAAAGTAGTGACTCACCTCAAACTTCAAAGAAAAGTCATTACAACAATATAATTTAGATTCAAATTCACAAAACTATAATTTTAAAAATTAATACGTCATCCTTATAAAATAATAAAAGTTATCTCATACAAGCCTAAAACATAACTAACTTTCAGTGTTGGAACAGATACCGTTTGAAAGGTATCTAGATATAAATATAGGTATTGTATGGCAAAAGTATTTAGATATAGTTATAGATACATTTTTTTACAATTACCTAGGTATAGGTACAGATATAAATAAAAAGTACCTGAAAATTTAGATACTTTTTAGGTACTTAAAAAAATTTTTTTTTTAGTGGAGAAACAGGAAAAGAGAAAGTAATAAACAACTTAAATTAAATATCACATTTTATATCTCTATTTATTTAACATATAAAGAAATATAAAATAATATTATTAAGACTCGTTTGAATAAATCCAAGTGGTATTGACAATGCCTAATTCGACTCAAACACTGAGGAGAGGTTACGCTCTGCTCTTCACCGATTTTGATCAAACTTGCAGCGATGTTAGAAGAGCCTATCAAATGAACACCTGTAAAGCCGTTCGCTCCATTGGGCCTTAGAAGCCGAGTAATGATCATTTAAAGATATACCAAAAATCTGGAAAACAGTCTAATATCTCGGAAAGTATGCATTTTTGAGAAAAATGTCTTAAACAAAACTGATAAGGTTTATTCAGATGTATATACTAGTCTTATAGGTTTGACCTTGGGCGCCACCGTCAAGGTCAAGTCAAGGTCACGGTGCCGCTCAAGGTCAAACCTATAAGACTAGTATATACATCTGAATAAACCTTATCAGTTTTGTTTAAGACATTTTTCTCAAAAATGCATACTTTCCGAGATATTAGACCGTTTTCCAGATTTTTGGTATATTTTTAAATGATCATTACTCGGCTTCTAAGGCCCAATGGAGCGAACGGCTTTACAGGTGTTCATTTGATAGGCTCTTCTAACATCGCTGCAAGTTTGATCAAAATCGGTGAAGAGCAGAGCGTAGGCTCTCCTTGTGAGTGTAGTCGTGTATTATATGTCAGCTTTATTGTTGCAATTAAATACAATTCTCAAACGTTTCAATCCCGCTTCGGATCCTCATCAATAATTTGCATGTTCCGATTATCAAAATGTTTCCTAATACAATGATTAATCGGAGCTAATGATGTTAGTATGTTCACAATTAGATAGTTGAAATGTGGTAATCGGAACATGCAAATCATTGATAAAGATCCGAAGCGGGATCGAAACGTTTGAGAATTGTATTTAATTGCAACAATAAAGTTGACATATTCTACACGACTACACCCAGTGTTTGACTCAAATTAGGCATTGTCAATACCACTTGGATATAAAGAAATGTTTCAAACGTATTTAAAAAACATAGAGATCTCTCTAACATCTTCAAAAGCATAGAGACTACAAAACATAACTTTGTAACGTGAGAAATAGCTATGTACAACATTAATGGTGGCGACAGTGTATAATACCTGTAACTATGTATCTAAAACTTAAAAGATACCGTATTAAAAAATAACTAGATACGGATACAGGTATCTCCGTCTATAAGGATCTAGGTAATGCACTTAGGTACAGCTAAAGTATCTAGATACTGTATCTAGGTACTTTTACCTAGATACGTTCCAACACTGCTAACTTTAAACATAAAACAGTATCAGTCGCCAACAAAAATAAACATAAACGTTCACTAACGAAAATAAAAATAAAAGAATACATACCATTTGTCACACTAACGTTTATAACCAATGTTAAGAAACTTTTTTATTCGTAAAAACAAACATTATTATATATATATTATTTAAAAGATGAATATAATTTTGATGTAAGCCTTCCGTGTCTGATCTTAAATTAAACGCATTCTATTGTAAAGTAATATGTAGTGCTTCTGAAATCAATCGTTTACCTAAATAGCGTTCTTCATCTAATATTGAGATATTATCCTAGTCAAATTCGTGATTAAAATCAAATCTATAGTCAATGATTGTTACGTCCGGCGCTCATTTTTCGATTCAGATTTCGCCCCTGAATCTTTTATCACGCTCACACTCATTGTTATCGCGCCGTACGTTTTCGCCTGCGTACCTGATTAACTCCGAGCAGCGCCGCACTTACGCGAGGACACCACCTCCCGGGCGCCTCACGCCGATTAATTAATTGCTAAAATTCGCGTTCTAATCAACGCCACGATACAGCTGAGAGCATGACGATGCTGGCCAGCGCATGTTGCGCAAAACTATACCGCACTACCTCAAATTAATTCAACCTTTTCTACCGAAATCATTAACGCAATAGACAGGCGTAATGAGAATACGGATTTACTGCGCATTGCGCGATACTCGCTGATCCGCGTTGACAGATAGGGCGAAAACCTATTCTGAAAAACTAAAGTTTGGTATGCGGCCTTATCATAGCGCCTCCACGGTTGTTAACGAAAAACCGACTCGGTACAATGTTTGCGATAAATACGAACTAGAATCGTACTAAGTACGAAAACCATGCGCCCATCAGGTAATGAGAAATTAAATATTCGCAAAAGTGATTTATTGCCTTTTTTCCGTGGAAATTTGGCATTTCCATACGCCGCGGCCACCAAGCTGGCCCTATATAATCGAGCGAAACAGAGCGCTCTCGTTCATTATTGTTCTATTTCTGATAGTACTATAAGGTTCTTCGTGAATAAGATTATAGAGTCATTCGTAAATCATTGTGCGACAAATCCGTATTGGAATATATCTTGACGGCGTAAAACCGATCGCGAGACATTCTCGAAACATATTGTTAAGAGCCGGGATAATAATCACGCGAGCGTAAGTGTATAAATTAACTAATTAATTATATAATAAAAGTAGTGCGCGCTCTGCCGTGTTCAACAATAATACATTCTAGTTATTTTGCGGTCGTATTGTGCGTAGTGCGTAAACGGAAATTTACTCGAACCTGTACCAAGCGATTATTTATTTTCATACTTTTGAGTTTTGTTCTTTCTTTTCTTTTCGCCGGATAATTAATTTCACGTATTCGCGGGTCTCTTTCGTTTATTTTTCAATTATTCATTTTTGCGTTAATATATATAAAGATATATATATATTTATATCAAGTGAACAATGATGGACCAACGTTTTTTTTTTGTGTGTGTGTTGTGTCGTTTAGTTAATTCCTTCCTCCCCCAGTGAGCAGCATTAATTTTCCCCTCAACGATTTGCAAGCAAGCGGAGTTTGAGCGCTGCCACATTCAGTAGCTCGATTTCGTGCCCCCTTTTTTTTTTATACTGCTCACTGGTCGTCGCGATCGACATATCCGCCGAACCATAGATATAACTCGCATTACTCGCGCATTCGCTACTCGAAATTCCGCTCGACGACGACACTCGCGTAACTTCCACGCTATTTACATTCCTCGCGACGTAAGAACCGCTTGTTCTATTCTCTTACTTTTAATTACATTATTTTCTCTACAGTTCTTCTCCAGTGAGTAGTATTTTTTCCCCTCAACGATTTGGAAGCAAGCGGAATTTGAGCGCTGCCACATTCAGTAGCTCGATTCCGAGCCTCCCCTTTTTTTTTATTATATATGCTGCTCACTGGTCGTCGCGATCGCAATATCCGCCGAATCAGGGGTCGTAATTCTGCCTGATTTTAATTCTAACTCTCCCCCTTCTTACACCGACTAAAATGTTATTCTCGCATCCGGCAGGTTATGCCCCGCACCCGGCGCGGGCGTAGAGCGAGGCAAAGCACCCAACAAAAGAGACTCTGGTGGGAGCTCACCCGAGGCGGGGAGTTCGACCCATCTGGAGTCTTCCCGCAGGAACAGGATCCTCCGGATCCTCCGAGAGCGACCACTGAGCCGATCGCCGGTTCTGCTCCTCGGCCTCCGCGGCCTCGCGCACCAGCTCCTGCCGCGACCGCGATTCGTCCGGAGCCTCCGGACGCCGATAGCTACGCGCCAACCAGGAAGCCTACCCGGCCGCTGCCGGTATCACGCCAGGCCCCGGCCTCGACGTACAGGCTTGCCTCTCCACTCGCGCCGCCTGTTGTGGAGAAGCCACGCGTCCGAAATATCACTGCGGTGCCAAGGAACCAGCGGTTCCTCAAGCTTTTGATCGTTAGCGGCGAGGAGTTAATATCAACCATCGCACGGACGACCACCATTCCGTGGTGGTAGAAGGATTATCCTCTTTTCCCTCTTTATTCTCTCTTCCCCTCCTAAAAGATTCCTCGAAATGATGAAATTTGGCGTCGTCTGAGGGCCTCACTCGCCCCTTCCGGGCGATCATAGATTACATACTAATGTATATATATATAATGGCGCGATGCCACCTCGATTACCGCTATGATTCTTGATTATATTACTGCGCATAGTTTTCATTTGCTTTTATGCCATCACGAGGGTCACCTCCCTTTCAGCTCTTCTAGCAACCTCGTTTATATGTATTTTGCTTCTTGCTTTCTTTTATTATTCTCTCTTTGTTGTAGATAATGATAAATAATCATTTTTATGTTATTCGATTCGTCGTTCTTCCCTCCCCACTAGGGGAACCATCGATAAATAAGTTACACATTTTGTTCCATACGCAGTTAATGTGGTAACGATGCCCATTTTTTTTACATGCGGCAAATCTGCCCGATGAAGAATATACACCGAGGCGAGAGACGATCGGTGCTTCCGCTCGGCCCACTATCGCTCTTCGCGCTCTGATCGTTCCCCTCCTTCTTCCACAAATCCCTCCACCCATATTCATAGAGTATTTTCCGATCCTACACGCCGCATTCGGGAATTCGCGATTTACAAACGCGCCAAAAAAAAAACCCGGACGTAACAATGATAACAGAATGATTACTAGTATTGCGGTTAATATGATTCCTATGCTCTGATATCCTAGTTTTTAATTTTCTTCCTTTCTGTCCCACGTATGAGGCGAAACATGACTTATAATTTATTTTATATACTACATTTCTCTTTTTTTTCTCGAGGAAGAACATCTTTCTGTACGTTTATTACGCTACTTAATTTATTAACACTATTAAACGCCAATTTAGTATCACAATTGTTTTTTATTCTATTAAATTCATCAGATATCTTGGAAATATAAGGAAGAACAAACCATGAGTTCTTAGATAATTCAATATTGTCTATGGAATTTATCTGTTTATTCCTTCTGTAAATTAAAGTTTTTAATCTAGAATTAATAGTATTTTGAATAGAAGTTTGAGGTGAGTCACTACTTTTAATTTTTTGAGTTAATTTGAGGTTAATGAAATTAATATTTTATTAAATCGTACATCGGATCTGCAAATTTGAGTGTGACTTTGTCTCAAACATTTGGAGGAGTACAGAGATTAATTATGCTGAAAATGACTCTAAAATGGAATCGAAACGTTCAATATTTTTTTAGTCTTATGTATCTCTTCGCTTTACAAAAGTATTTTAGTCTTTTATGATATTGACTCCGTTATTCAGTAAGAAGGCGTGAAAATATAAGGGAGCGCGAGCATAGGAAATGACGTGGTAATGAAATATGAGGTCACCAAAAATAAAACATAAAAAGAAATAGATTATAATTCGTCAATATATTAAAATGCAATTATATACAAGTGCGTGAGACAAAAAGTAGAGAAATGATATATCGCTCGATTGGAACACCTTTATAATTCGGTCGCGATATCACGTATTGTATTTGTCGATTCTCGGTATATAACTCGCTATTCTAAGAAACGCGACTGTTTCAACACGTGTCAGCTGATCGACTGTACGTGTCATATCTCTCACTCGCTTCTCGTCCGTTACGTCTTTCTAGCAATTTCTATTTTCGGTCAATATTATTTTGCGTGTATTTGTCTCGGTTGTCACCGTTAATTTTAAAATAATAAATTAAACTACAATTTCCCTGCTACATACTTTCCTTATAAAATATAACATAATCTCATAAAATCATACATTAATCACAAAAAACCCATGTCAAGTATGTGTTCGTGTATCTCTGTGTATCTCTAACTATTTTAATTTAATGCGTTATTATATTTTTACAGCTGAGATAATGGTGACTTAGTCACCACATTTTTAAAGAATAAATATTCAATTACGTATAAAAAACCACGTTTGACTCTCAATTGCCTGATCCTCGGATACATATTTTATGATAGCTTTATATTTTTTGCAATTTTTGTGCACAATTTTTATTACTTATTAATTAATCAAAAATTTGTAATAAAAGATACAAGAACATATTTCTCAAATGTGTCAAAAAAATTACAGTAAATGTTACATTTTATAACGAATTTTTGTCTTTTTCAGCATGCAAAGAAAAAACAACGCGTTCGCGTAGTCGAATACTGGATTGAAACTGCTCGAGAATGCTTTAACATTGGCAATTTTAATTCTTTGATGGCGATTATTGCTGGCCTCAATATGTCTCCGATATCTCGTTTGAAAAAAACAGTAAGAGAAAATATATTTCTTTTCAATTTTGATGGTATTGTATACATAATATATATAATATATTGTATACGAAATTATACTATATTAGGAAAAAACATAATAATATACATTCATAGAACGTCTTATATTTCGATTAAATCGCATATTAGGAAGTTGTAAAGACAATTCTCAATTGATATACATTTTCTTTGACATGCATATATACATATACATACTATGTATCTCTCAATTTTTCGATTACTTCAACACGAGCGTATTTGAAAGGTATGAATATTCGTAAATCATAAAAATGAAAAGCTCAACCTCTCAAAGAGGATACTCTAAAATTTTAATCGTTTTATCTAATAATAATATATTACCATGAAAAGTAACTGACATATTATTAATTAAAGGTGCCAGTACAAAATGAACATACATAAAGTGTATGTAGCTTTCGGCCGATTTTCGAATCGCCTCCGAATGCCTTTTGCTGTCCCCCTCACCTCATCGCGCGCAGATCACCTGTCGCTCGAGCGGCATTTGGATCGCGCGCGGTGAGATGAGGACAGCGGAAGGCGGAGACGATTCTAAAATCGGCCGAAAATTACATACACTATATGTATGTTCACTTTGTACTGGCATCTTTAATTAATAATATATCAGTTACTTTGATGGTAATTTGGTAATATATTATTATTGGATAGAAAGGTTTAAATTTTAGAGTTTTCTTCTTTGAGCATGACTTGAACTTTTTATTTTTATGACATGATTTTTTTTTATATCATTTACTTTTTAGAGTACAAAAATATCACAAATATATAAAAAAATAATTTAAAAATATTAATATAATGAAAGATAATAATAATTGACTGGTATGATTTTTAAAAATCAGTAGAACGTGTAAAGCCTAATCGAGTCTTGAAAACAAGTTGTTAATGTTTATTATATTGTGTGAATTTATATACTGCGTATGTAGTCCCCCCCGCGACGCTGATAGATTTTCAGCATTGACACATACATATTCACTACCGCAGTAATATCACTTAGTTAAATTGAGAATCAATCTAACATATTTTTTATGCCTATAGCATCTTATTAGATCTTAATAATATGTTGAAAGACATATATTAAAATTTAATATTAAAGTAATCATTTAGAATCTATGAAAAATAAGATTGCGAAGAATATCATAAGTTGGCGTTTCGTCCCGGCTTCCACTACTGGACTCATCAGTAAGGTAATGTAGTGGGAGCCTACCTTAGACGCCTGGGAAGATGTTAGAAAGAAGTTCTATATAAACAAATACTCATGTAATTCGGCACTTGCGAGAAATGGCATGAGTAACTATAGACCTCTGTTGGCTAGTCGACGTAGTGATATTCTTCACATTGTTCTTAATATTTAAATAAGTAATTAAAGCACATTTTTCAGGCCGCGCGATATGAATATAATGAAAAATAATAATTTACTCGTATGATTTTTAAAAATCAGTAGAACGTGTAAAGCCTAATCGAGTCTTGATCTATCAGCGTCGCGGGGGGAGACTACATACGCAGTATATAAATTCACACAATATAATAAATATTAACAACTTGTTTTCAAGACTCGATTAGGCTTTACACGTTCTACTGATTTTTAAAAATCATTCGAGTCAATTATTATTATCTTTCATTATATTTATATCGCGCGGCCTGAAAAATGCGCTTTAATTACTTATTTAAATATTAAGAACAATGTGAAGAATATCACTACATCGACTAGCCAACAGAGGTCTATAGTTACTCATGCCATTTCTCGCAAGTGCCAAATTACATGAGTATTTGTTTATATAGAACTTCTTTCTAACATCTTCCCAGGCGTCTAAGGTAGGCTCCCACTACATTACCTTACTGATGAGTCTAGTAGTGGGAAGCCAGGACGAAACGCCAACTTGTGATATTCTTCGCAATCTTATTTTTCTTAGATTTACATTTATTATTACTTTAACTTTACATTTTTAGAATTTAATATGTCTTCCAACATATTATTAAGATCCAATTTATGATGCTGTAAGCATAAAAAATTGTGATATTACTACAGTAGTTGATTAGATTTGCGTTTTAATCCGAAGGATTTTCGGCGCGCAATTGGGGGAAACTACTTCTGTAGTATATAAAATTCACTCTATAACATATTTTATATATGATCGCACTAATAACAGTGAATAGCTCTCATTAGCCTCTATATTTTTGTTATTTGAAATTACAATTAAATTATTTAATCGTCGTTACAATTAGCAACTAATTTTAATTATTTATTAGTTTTAATTGTGTACGTAATTGACAATTGACTTTTATAGTATGCATTGTGATTTGTTCGGTTAATATACTATTAAAAAAAAAACAAAATTTGTTTTTATATATATA